ATATGCCTAGTGAGAAGAAGCAGGATGAGACCAGATGCCCTTTTAGTAGCTTTGGTTACTTTAGGGAAAAGACATGAGTGGATCCAGCTCAAAGTTCCTGCTGCCTCATGTAACAGCACACTCATACTCAATAGTAAATTTTTATTGCTAGGCATGAATAAATTAATATATATCTCATGCCTGCAGACAGGCAAAGGCAAAGGAAAAGCTGTCTGGGAAATCCTGGATGATTTATTTATTTTTTTTTGAGGTGTAGGTTCTTACATCCTTTAGTACAAATGCAATCATACCCTGGATCAATGCAACCTTTTCTCAAGCTAGGAGCTGTGATAAATCTGTTCAAATCTCATTCTGTCAGACCACCCTGTGCCAACAGAGGTGATAATTAATGTTGAGGTATGAACACAGTTGGGTTTTTTAAGGCAAAAAACTAGAAATATTCAAGTGAAGTATTTTACTGAGTCACTGCAATATCCCTTTAAGTTGGTTGTGCTTTCCTGAAAGTGTTGGTGTTAGGTCTGTTTCTGTATGAAGCAGGGACAGCCATAAAAACAATGGAGTCAAGGCAGATTTGTAATTTTCTATAATGTGGATGACTAAATAATTCTTCTTTTCCCCAACTTGCTCTGTTCAGATTTCTGTTGGCTTGTTGAGTTCTCCCACACAAGTGAAGTGATTTCTAAGAGTGCTGCTGACAGAACAATGCATGCTCAGTGTTGCCGCATCAATCCCTGAATCATGTTCCAGCATCACAGTTGTCATAGAGACAGAGATTTTTGAGATCAAAGGGATGATTCTGATAATCAGTTCAGACCTTTTGTAAAGCACATAGTAGCTTGCCAATAAGTAAATAACTTTGCCAAATAAGAATGCAGCCTGGACCACTCTCTGCTGTGATGGTGAAACATGTTTCACTGAAGTTTGGGGGATGCTGGAACAGAAGCCCCAAAGGGGGATTTAATTTATTGTCAGAGTGGTGCTGTCAGCACATCATTTTTTCTGCTGACTGAAAGCCAGGTGCAAGCTTAGTCCACAGAATCATGCCATGATTATGATACTGGTGACTTCAAAGGGACAAAGAGTATTAGAGTAATAGCAGTATCCTGTCTTATCTTCTAGTTGGTGCAGAGAGGTCAGCACTTGCATTAGTAATGAAGGATGTAGAGTGGGGAAGCTGTGTGCAGTCAGAAGTCTCTTGACAGACAAGTGCTAGGTGATTTAGCTGCAGCAGTTTGATGCTACTGTCCCTGCTTGTTTGCCTGCTCCTTCATCAGCTGAGATGTGTGTCTGCACCAGATGTGTGTCTGTGTCCAGAGCCTGCTACAATTGCTGCCAGGGACAGTGAGCTTGTGCCAAGTTGCTAGAGGCTACCTGGTACAAGCAGAACAACTGGGGTACTTAATATCTTAAATTGCCCAGCTGACACGCATCAGAGCTCACTTGAAACTGCCAAGCATTTTGACTAACTGCTATCCTCTGTCCCAGTATATGCTAATCTGTGAGAAATGGATTGTTACAGATCCCAGCTCTGCTGATGAAGTAGCTCCAGTTATAAAATTCCTTGATTTTACACACAGAAGTTTCCAGTGATCATCACAGTATTAGACACTGAAACAGTGTAAAGCCTCTGAAACAGGCTGTAAAGCCTCTGATACGGTCTCCCCATTTGCAGCTGCAGAATTTGGAATAAAGTCAACTGCTTGAGCAAAACTGTGAAAATGTGTCTGAAGGCACATTTGTAGCCAAAATGCTCTCCTTCTCCTAAATGTGTACATTTCTCTGGCTGTCAGCTGTACATATGTAGCTTCTGCAGTCACCCGAGATAGCTTTGGGAAAGATGGAAAAACAGTTTCTTAATGCAAATGATAAGCTGGCTCAGTCTAAGCATGTATTATCCCTGTGTTGGCTGCTTGGCTGGAAAGGTTTGATAATAGGGCAGTGTTTGATTCTTTGTGCTCTGCTATTTGCAGTGCCTTAAGTTACTCACTGGTAAGCATTGCGAAGGATCTATTCTTAGTACCCTAGGTTTTTGGGGATTGTCTTTGGCTAATTTCCACAGCATTCCTGTGAGGTGTAATGACTCACTGCCTTTCTGTTCACAAATAGTGCTATGTTCATCTGTTCTTTGTGTATTTTAAGAGCAATTAATCTCTGGGACTGCCTGGTTCCTCTGAAGTGTGCTCCTTCTGCAGTAGGAGTAAGTCTCCCTTAAAAACAAGGGGGAACTCAAGAGAGGGCCAGGTTGTGTGTGTTACAGGATTGATGTTCTCTGACACTGCTACAGAGCCAGTAAATTTTGAACAGCTAAAGGTCAGACATGTTACTTCTATGTCAGATTATATGCTGCTGAGAGCTACTAGAGTTAGGGCGATTAGTATTTACACATCCACACAGGTCTTTTTACTGTCCTGTTCTCATTGTTTTCCTTCTGCATGCAGCAAGCTTGCATGATTACTGGCAGCACCAAGGATAAAAGGGCTGTTAAGAAGCAAAAGTAGGATTAAAAGAAGGTTATTGTTACTACATTCCTATGAAGCCACGAAGACTGTAGGTAGCAGAAGAATGTCAGTGGCAATAGCACATCCCAAAGCAGTCATTATCATTCGGTGATAGTTTCCACGTGCAAGCTGGTGCCATGTGGGTTAAACCATGTAATTGCACACAGTATAAAAATGAACAAACCCACTTTTCAGTGAAGATGGCTTGGCAGTGCACATAGTACACAGTATCTGTCTTGTGGTGAGAGATGCTGCTAGATGTTACACAAGCAGTTTGAAGATTGCTTAGTGATTACAGCATCACCTTACCTGGCCTTTTCATTTAAGGAACAGTTCTGCACTGAGGTTTACTTAATTCTTCTCTCTCCCAAAATTGAGGTGGATAAGCCTTTCTTTTTAAGATATTTATTTTAAGCAAGAAAGTGTCAATAATTCGATTTTTATCCTAGCTTTGTGAAGATTTGTATACTGACACAACAGAAAGCTGCATAGCTGAAGTGCAGTGCAGGAGCTGGAGGTAGAGGTTGAGGGTGGGAATCTCATAAACTGCTTCTGTTACTGAAGAAAACTTCACATGTATATTGCATGTGCCATGAAGAGAGAGGCAATGGTCATGATTATCACCTCTTTACTCACACTCTGGTAGCTTTCAAGGGGATTAATGGGTACTAAATGCAGAGTACTCAGTAAATAAAACCCACCTTTTCTGAATCTCTAAAGAAGTAAATAAGCAGGTTCTGTTCAGACAACACTCTTTAGTAAAAATAATTTGCATTAAACCTACTGTGAATGTTTACTGGATTGAAATATTTTGCTGGTGGAGTAAAAGGTTTGTTGTTTTCAGCCTAGCAGAGAATTAAAAAAAAAACAAACAAAACCCCCAAAAACTGCATCTCCAGTGACTTAGATTAAGATATTGGTTATGCAGTTACAAAGAAACAAAATACTTCATTATGGAGAGCAATTTTGAAAGTATGTGCCCATTTCAATGCTTTCTGGTGCCATCAAATAGAAATGATAAACAAGTAAAAACATTGGGCTAAGAGCCCATCTTGTCGCTCATTAGTGCTCTGAACTGACTGTTTTTTTCAGTGTCTGATGATCACCATCTCACAGATATGTCTAGTTACATTACATTTACGAATATGCAACTGATTCAAACCTCTGCAGTTCAGAATAAGCTGAAATCTTTCCCAGCAACACTTTCTAAGGCTCAAAGGGATTTTGCCTTTTTTTGGTTTAGACTTACTTATTTTATATTTATGTTACAATACTATTAAACTTTTTATATTATTCCATTGTTTTCACACTGTGAAAATTTTTTTATTTGTCAAATCTAAGCAACTGAAAACTGATGGAATATTTTTGAAAATGCTGTAAAGTTTTGGGGAATTTAACCTCTTTTCAGTTCACAGCAAAATCTTATATAAAAGAGTTTCTGCAGAATGAAAAATGTATTTACTGGGCTTCTGAGAATTTTCATTTCCTTGAACAGGATGTGCTACAAACAAACAATGAAAACATCACTTTTGTTGATGACATAGGCATTAGGAAATTATTTTGGTTAATTCTGGATCAGCTTGTTTCTCTGTTTATTTATCATTTTAATCCATCAAAATAGAGGTTCAAATGCTAAAATTGTTCTTTCTTTTCAGTAAACTGAACAAAAATACTGTATTTGGAGAAATCACTTAATCCTTTCTAGGACATCACATTTTAGAGAGAAGTATTATTTTTTAAAAAATAAATCACTTGACACTATCTGTGCAACAGTTGTAATGTGAAAAATGGAAATTTATAGAAAACTGCTGCATTATTTTGCCTTGGACTCTGTGTAGTCTTAACCAGTTTGTGAAGACAGACACTGGCCAGTGGTCAGTGGCAATCACTGGTCTGACAAATGAAGAATAAAAATTATTCTTAGAAATCTTTAGACATTTCTCTAAAGGTTAGCATCATCAAAGATACAAATGACCAAAAATTGCGTTGAACGCCAGGACCCTGTGCTCATAAGACAATGGGAAAGCTCTTGTTAACCTTGAAGCTGAAGGATCAAGTTGTTTCCTTTTATAAACTCTTCTCCAAGTGTTTTGGTAAGAACAATTGATCAATCCTGCTACCATCATGTGGGGTAGAAAATTAATTTTGATGTTAGAGCAGAATGCACTGAGGTGAAGTAATTAATTTAGGTTCTGCAGTGATTAGGCACTGAAGATGGACAGTGCTTGGTTGCTATCCTCTGATCAACAAATGAGCATCAACAAATACTATTCTCCTTCCCTTGACAAGAGGTTTTGAAGGACAACTTATGAGCTGGATTGACTAATATTATGAATTACAAATATTTTGGCTTACGTATTATAGAAATATATTGGTTAAGGTCAGTGTGGAAGCTCACTGGACTCATAGTATTTTAAAAACTTGCTCCTGTTTTACCTGACCTCTGAATGTCTTTCAAAACACAGCTGTCATCTGGCCAACCTGCTCCCTCCAGTAACTTACAACTTTCAATTTCTAGTGTGCAGTTTTGTTCATCCAGAGGATATCTGCGTAGATCCATCATGCAAGCAGCTGTTGTTGTGATCCTATAAAAGAAGGGTGAAAAAAAATAATTAGATTTGAAACCACATTTTACTTATTTGAGAAGGCAAGATTTATTTATCAAGGCTTTTCTATTTAGACACAGAATGGATATGTACATAGATTCCTGACATACAGGCTTTACATAGATTGTAAAGTATTATTAAATAATTTATATGGCACAATGTACTGGTCACAGTCTAAACCATCAGAGTTTATGCTTAATATGATAGACCAGGATTTTGACTGAAAACTTGATGTGCAAAACAATTTATATCTGTGAAAGGCAGTAACCTCTTTTTTCGATCTGGATTCATCCTGTTGTTCCAATTCCATGTTAATTAATGCCACAGGAACACATCTGGAGATTTTACTTTTGATGTACTGAAAGTCAAGCACACTTACATTCTGTACTGGGCTGATAATCCTTGCTGTCACAGAAGTGACTGAATTAAAAGAAGTGCCACATGCTTCATTACTGTGACATGCTTCAAATTATCCTGACTACAAAATCCATATGTCTACCTGTGCATAAGTATCATCTAGCATGTGCTCTTATGAGAACCAGTCCATGAAACTACTCTAGAATACTGTGTGAAGTACCATGGAAATGATATATTTATGCTTTTCCTTAGTCTGATTTTTGTCACACTAAATTGAATTGCATGTGTCTTAATGGTAGAAAAGGTTGAGGACTGCAGCAGAGGTAGGGCCTTGTTTAATTCAGCCATGTACCAAATATATGTTACTGAGAGGCTCTGTGAAGACATGCAGTGATAATTTGTCAAACCCCTAATTAATAATGCTTAAGATCATACATAGCAATATACTAACATTAGTCACAGTTAAATACTTTTAAATGAAGGTTTCATAGCGTAATGTTTTGTTCCCAGTTAATAAATCAGCCTTTGTGGTAATTTAGTTCACCTCTATTTATTTCTGTACAGCAGAAGTTGCCATAGTGTTTCCTAGACCACAGAGTGACAGTGCCCAGCTATTTCCTAATGACCAGTGTATCTCTACAGAGGACATCTGCAGTTCTGCATATCCTACCTAAGCAGTAGCAATTTGGAATTCTTTATAACATCAATACAAATGAATTGTACAGTAGTAAAAAATGCAATTGCTGTATAACAAATATTTAAATATTTCACATAATAATTGTAATTCTGAAAAGTAATTTCTCAACTGTGTTGTCTTCTCACTATTTGTCCACAGATTCTGGTGCACTGGTTGGTTTGATGTGTCTGATCACTATTATAATCCAAGAACTAAAATTAATGTGTATGTTACTAAGATACTGCACTGCAAATTGCAGGTGGGGTATGGGAATAAACACTTGGATTATGCAGAAGAAAGATAACCTTAGTGTCAAGTTCTGGCAGCAGTAAAGTGATCCCAATCTGCCTGTTCTGTTGGTAATTTCTTATCCTTCATCCTTATTAAATCACTCATTGTCTCTACGCTACATAGAAAGGTAAAACAGAAGTGTTTATCTATGTTCTCTGCTTCTCTCAGCTCTGTTTTGCATTTCCCGATAGAGCCTTTAAGACAGTCTCCATACTTTGGGGTCAGTCTCCATATTTTGGGGAAAGTCAAGAGTGTTGGTAGGGAGCAGCTCTCTGCCTCGTGAGTTTTTTAACCCCTTAGCAGCAAGTACTGAAGAATCACAGAATCACAGATCACAGAATCTTAGGGACTGGAAGGGACCTCGAAAGATCATCCAGTCCAACCCCTCTGCCAGAGCAGGATCACCTAGAGCACATCACACAGGAACGTGTCCAGGCGGGTTTTGAATGTCTCCAGCGAAGGAGACTTTACAACCTCTCTGGGCAGCCTGTTCCAGTGCTCTGTCACTCTCACAGTAAAGAAGTTTTTTCTGATTTTCACATGGAACCTCCTATGCTCCTGTTTGCATCCATTACCCCTTTTCCTATCACTGGTCATCACTGAAAAAAGCCTAACTCCATCTTCCTGACACTCTCCCTTAACATATTTGTAAACATTGATGAGGTCACCCCTCAGTCTCCTTTTCTCCAAGCTAAAGAGACCCAGCTCCCTCAGCCTTTCCTCATCAGGGAGATGTTCCACTCCCTTATTCATCTCTGTGGCTCTGCACTGGACTCTTTCAAGCAGTTCCTTGTCCTTCTTGAACTGAGGGGCCCAGAACTGGACACAGTATTCCAGATGCAGCCTCACCAAGGCAGAATAGAGGGAGAGAACCTCTCTTGATCGACTAACCACATCCTTTCTAATGCAGCCCAGGATGCCATTGGCCTTCTTGGCCACGAGGGCACAATGCTGCAGCTCTCCAGTGCAGTAGCAAGCTGTTGCTTCCAGGGAAGAGAGGAGAGAGATATTTTTTTTGCTGAAGTTCACAGAGGTGAGGGCCACGCAACCTTTCAAACATTTTTCTCCTTCATGATAGATGTCAGCTGTATGAAATTTTTAATAGCATTGTGATCTGGATAACCACAAAACTTGCTTAAGGATATAAATTAAATGCAGATGCAATCATAGTAATTGTTGTCTTAATTTTAAAAAAATAACATTTTTTATTATGAACAGAGTAAAATCCAAAACCTGTTACTGGCTGCACTCAGTCAGTGGAGAGAGGAACTGATGGCTTGCACATGCACCAGGAGCTTAAAAATTAAGACATTCCAATGCAGAGCACAAGGCAGCAAGGGGAATGCAAAAGTCTGAAAACAGGGCAAAGCTGCAATGAATCTGTATTCAAGAGGATTAGTCTTGAAAATTCCTGGGCACAAGCAGTTTGTGGCAATGGGGAATATCATAAGGCTCTCTAAAAGTTTAAGGGAAGGACTAATCCTGCACTTGAAGCAGAGCTATTTACATCTATCTCAGAGTAGGATATGTTTCTCCCAGGCTTTTCATTCTTAAAATATGTTTTAAGTTTCAGTGCTGGGGCAAATTTATTTTTGTTTGTACACTTTAGTTTGTCTTCTACCCTATTATACTTACATTCTTTAGATTCTTTTGAATACAAATGACAAAAATGGAATTATGCAAAGAAGAGAAGCAGTTAAGTGGAGGTAGATCATTATACTACTTAATTGCACTGATGTCAGTACTCAGACATCCTAGGATGGAGTGAAGTGTGAACTGCTAACAAACAAGATAAATAACATTTCCAAAATAGCAAAACTAATTTTTTTTTGTTTGTTTGTTTTAATTGTGTCTTGGAATTCAAGTTATCTGATCCACTGCTTAGGTTTTATTTTGATGTCTGACTCTTTGAATACCATATTCTTACTGTATAATCAAGTTATTTTTTGCCAAACTTAAAATTATATTAAAGAAACACTGATGTTCAGACTTCTTTAAGTAACACTGTCAGAGGTTCCCTGCAAGCTTGTAGAAACAAATAGTAAAGCTTAATATTTTGGGTTAAGTCATACGTGAGCAGCTAAAGTGAGTCCAGAATGAGTGTGGGAAGTGGAGTTATGGTTCAGTAGTTACAGCATTTCATTAAAATGCTGTCAAAAAGTGGTCTTCAATTCTTGCAAAAGAAACAGCAGTATTTAAGACAGCAGTGGCAACTAAATGTGGAGATGATCAGAGCTAAACAATGCAAATTCTGTTGTGAAATGTTTCCTCTGTTTGGAGGACAGGAATAAAATTTTAATATGTTCATCCTTTTTATCTCAGTCAACAGAGCATAAATTATAAATGTATATGAAGATATGAACTAGGATGGACTAATTTTTTTTTTCTTAAAGGCAAAATAAAATCTTCAAATTAATAAAGAATAACCATGCTTCTCTTAACCACTGCAGACCTAGGGCTGTAGTACACACTGGAAGTAGACTTTCATATCCCATGTAAAGAATTGCTTTTATTAAATCAGTGTTAATTTAACTTCAGTCATGTCAGGGAACTTAATCCCATGGCGAATATTTGCCATCTGACCCAGTCCCATATCCCTGGTGTAACTGGTCTAATTTTTCTGGAACTTGGAATAATATTGGGAGGGAGTGTTATTATAGAGGAAGGCAGAAAACATGTACATTTGGAGGGAAAAAAAAAAAAAAAGTGCCTTTAATCTTCTTTTTTTTCTCTGTTTGTGCCATGTACAAAGTTTACAGTTGTCATGGCTGCTGACACTGTAATTTCCAAGCAAAACCTGAATATTTGACTCTGGGAGAAAACATCGTCTCTAAACCTGCAAACATGCCCAACTTCAGAGTTTGGAAGAGCTGACTTACAGGACATACATTTGAGCATTAGCATTATTTGGGTTGGTATAGTATATTTTACACAATGTAATGTGTACGTGGGAAATCTGTGTTCAACAGTGTGCATATTGCTCGTGTGGTCAAATTCTATTAACAAAGGTTTTACAAGTGAAAGTAAATTTGCAAAGGGCCAATTAAATAATTATAATAATTCTTTCACCTATCTCATTAGGAGCTGAGAGAAAAACATAATATTGACTCCTGAGCCAGATGCAGTAAAAGAGTCAGACAACTTCAGATATGACTACATTAGCATGTGGAAACCAATTTTTTTTAGATCATAAAATGGTTGTAATTCTCATTTTCTAAGGTTTTGATGGGTTTTTTTAGTCAGCTGGTGTTTGTGGCTTTTTTTTTTTTTTTTTTATTGCTTTTGCTTGTTTTGTTTGGTTTTGTGTTTCTTGTTTTTGTTTTCCACAAAATCA